GCTGGGATTGAATTGATGTCGAAAAATAAATCACATGCTCCTTGTGTTTTCCAAGCTCGTGATCGTCCTTGTAAACGCTAGATATCGGCCATTGTCGTACACCCTCTCCAAAATATGTAGTATCCCTCCAATTCTTTTGCTGCACGATCACGATTTAGGCGCTTCAGGATCGCCCTCAGCGACCAACTTTCCAACAACCAGGTACTTCTCCAAGAAGCGGTCTTCCCACGACTGTAGGTTTTCCAACTGCTCCGCATCCAAATCCTTCAGGTCATCCAACGGCGCCGATAGATCCTTGGTCAGCATCTCCTCATCGAAGCTCTGGAAAGCCAAGCCGCGCGAGGCGTCCCGACCAGCGAAGTTCTCGTAAGGTCCGCCCTATTCCAATCGTATCGTCAGCTTCAGCTCCAACGGCGCTGCCCAATGGCATTTCACGAATTCCAAACACATACCGGTCCATAGAAGTTCCTGCCAGCTGTCACATCGAAGACGCGGCCTCGGACGGACAGGTAAACGGGGCGGCCTTCCTCGCCGTTGAACTCAATAAGAGTTCTGGGGATGTAGGTCTTGAAGACGGTTGGCGGCGGAGCACGGGGGAGAGTGATTGGAGCTTTGGGACGGAAGTGCCAGTATACCAAGACTCCGAAAAGGGAGACTAGGATCAGGTTGATGGGGGAAGCGATAGACATCCTGTTGGGTAGCGAGCGGTTAGTTCGGTTGGTGTCCTATTATCTTCCATGGCGTATCGAATGAGATCAAGTGAGATGTGGGAGAGAGACACGAACACTTCAGCCTGTGGTGTGGAGTTATCTGCAATTTCTAGATTAGCGTAGATTCAGACCATGAGCAACGTGGGACACATACCCATTGAGGGCAAATGGTTGGATTTGGAGAGAGCAGGAAAGGCCGGAGGCTCGGGATGACATATCTCTCTCTCCCCGCTCCACGTGATTGGACCTTATATGGACATTCTCTTTCATTCTCTGGCTTCTGGCTTCTGGCTTCTGGCTTCTGGCTTCTTCTGGTTATATTTAGGAAATATCTATACCTAACTAGTTAACTATTATTACTTCTCTCACATGTGAAGTGATTGGAGACTAGGCTCTCGGACTTCAGATTCAAAAACGTAAAACATCCGGTAGTCCCTGAAATGTTTCAACTGGACTATCGCCCCCATTTTAATCTGCCTACTCCGTACTTAGTTAGTACTTCTATTAATATTAGCGGAGGCTATGTTATTCTAAGTTATTTTTACCATTGATTTTCTTGTCTACGGAGTAGTTCTTCTTTGCATTTCTGCTTAGCTGTTCGAATCATTTCTCACTATATAATTTTCACCTTCTCCCTATATTCTATAGGCTTCCGCCGTTGGGCATCGTGGCTGAGAAGACCAGAGAGCCCCCCTCCACATTTTACAATCCTTTACCTCTTTTTATTTCCCTTTCATCCTTTTTTATCGTGACTTGAACTTATTCCTCATTTTATGTGAATTCTGCGTTTTCATTTCCGCCCAAAATCAGCTACCTGTCACGTTCAGAGCGTGATACAATCGACATGTGGTCTAAAAGACCGTTCCACAAGCCCAAACGGCCCTCGATCAGCAGTCCCATGCTGAGCGGCAACCCACCCACCACAAGAGACCCTGTGCATGATATGGTCGCAAAAAAATTGCCCGCTCTGCCTGAGTAAGTCTCGTGTTTGTTACCTGTTTAATGGCACATCTAATGGAAGTCAGAGATTTGCATTCGTCTTTACAACCGGATCCTATCCTGCGCGATGATATCAATAAGAGTCCCTCAGACCTCTCCCCCGCTGTTTCGCCGATGCTTGAAGCCCATAGGCGGGCAAGCCAAAGTAGTTTCTGTGTCTCGCCAATTGGCAACGAAGACCAATTTTCTGATTATGCGCGACAGGAGACTGGGATTTCATCATCGCCAACACCTATTCCCAAGGTAGATTATGTTGAGACACCCTCTCATTCCCGGGTTCAGCCTGTCCAACCTGTCCAGCCTCCCTATCATGAACAGGACTCTAGGCGATTTATTTCTGGCAAATCCACCCGCTGGGATAACTTTTCAAACGAACCAACCATAAGTGACTTTGGTAGAGCTAGCCAGGTCGATCCCCGCAACACCTCCTTCCACAGACCCCCGGACCCAATGCGTCCAACCTACTAAACTGGGGCCAGGGATTCAATGCCAAAAAGACCCTCGACGCAGCTCGAAACCGGATCAGCAGTTTCTCAAAGACCGAAGATCTTTCGCAAAAGGAACCCAGAAGTAGATCGGCGTCACGTGGATTTCCGGTGGAAGAGAATTCTAGCAAGCGCAACGGCAACGGCGCGCTAAGGACGAGCCCCCAGCTCGATAACTTTAGCTTCGCTCCTACAACTGTAACCACTATCACGGCCGGTGGTCCAGTGTCATTTCCCCGGAGACCGGCCACAGAGCACGCTCCAACCCGCCTACCAGAGGAGGACAAACCACTACTCAAGTTCGACACAGATTTCGGCGACATGATCCTCACAAACGACGAGCCTAGGAGCCGTTTCAGCGCAACGACACATACGGCCACCGAACCCGGCAGTCAAGATGCAAGCCCGCGGGAGAGTATGCACCTCGAAACCCGGTCTACAGACGACCTATCCACATCCTCTATCATGGCCCGGCGTCGCCCAGTCCCAACCGGTGTGCCGACTTCGAAGAAACAGCCCGACTCGAGCAAGCCCGTCCGAAAGCCCACGCCGTCCCAGGTCGCACAACAGGGCGGACAGATGCCCACACAGTCGCCTTCACCTCCACCTCCACCCGAGGTGCCACTGGACGCGCATGGCCGCATTAAAGCAATGGAGACCAAGAGGGACGACCTTACCCAGCGCAGATACAGTTTGGAGTCACTGATCGCTGAATTAAGCAAGGCCCTTCAGCCTACTTCGGCTGCGTATGACCTGGCTGCCAAAGCCGAGGTCCAGAAGAGCATCAAAGGCATCGAAGGTGAGATCGCAGATATCAAGAAAGAAGAGCACGATCTTGGTATGAAAATCAGTCGAGCGTGGCGTCGCCTGGATGAGAAGGAGAATTCTGGCGATGGCAATAATCTCTGGGTCAAGCGAGTCACTAGTTAATGGCGGGTTGGATTGTGATTTGGTCTATGCGCGGCTATGGTGGAGTTGTTAGCGTCGCCTGTTTGATTGTACCTATTTCTTTTTGAGGCAGTTTGCTTGTTCTTTTTCCAATATTGGGGCATATGGTTGTGTTTTGAGCGTTTGATTCCCCTGCATGGCAGGTTGATACCCACTTTATCCGGAATTTGCCCAAGCTGTGGCGGTTTATGTTGATGTATTTTGGTCCGACTAATCTTGTTACTGTTTAATGAAATTGATTATTCTAGGAAATTTGCCGTATGTGAAAATGCGATCAAGCGCGAAATAGGTATTGGTGGCTAAAGAGATACAGAAGACCCATATGAATGAACTATGAGTGCAGTGATGCTGGCGCGATCACACATTCGAAGCCTCCCATCCTCCGCTTTCTCATTGAACATGGCTCGTGTAGGTCGTGAATATAGACTCAGCAAACCCGGTGTCAAGGCTCTTTGTGGGGAGTTCGGAGTTTTGGTGAGTGATCCGTCGAGGAGTATGCGATCCGTTTATTTCTTGCCAGACTTCTTAATGCCTTGCTGGCCGGTGTTGAGAGGACCCTTCTTGCCCTTGGCGGCGTCCTGCATGTCCTTTCGGGCCTTGGCGTCTAGAAAATATTGTCAGTTAGAGATTTCTCTAAATAGGATATCCAAAAAGCCATACCAGCCTTGATCTTAGCCTGGTGAGCGAGCTCATCCTCATCGAGGTCCTTCTTTTCCTTCTTAGCTGCCTTCAAGGGCTTGGCCTTGCCACCTGTAGATCATAGAAGATTAGTGAACTGGATTTCGAAAACAATAGGATATGAGGTAGAACGAACCTTCTCTGCCGATACCACCCATTTTGTCTAGATAAAGTAACTGGAAGAGCGGGTTGAAGAGAGTCTTGATAGAGTGGGGTGAGTTTACGGGTGAGAAAAAAAAAATTATATGAGGGGTTTGCTTATCCAGACCCTCAGTGGCCAGGCTGAGGCGAAGTTTGGGTGAACTGCTGTAAATATTACTAGTGGTATTAGTAGTTTTAGTATTTCAAGACCATACACACTTGTCTTGCCGGAAATCAAGCTGCTAACAAGAGACTGGTATTGGAAATACATGAAAGGCTAGTCAAAAGATGGTTAGTAGCAATATTTAAGGGACCATAATCCCCCCACAACCTCCGGCAATATCAATTCAATTCCCTGCCTGAAAATTCTGTCCTGTGTTCCCTCCATGTGATAAGACCGCAGATACCTGCAATTTGTATATAAAAAAGTTAAGTCACTTTTGTCACATAATACTACATCAAATTCATCGTCAATATAGCCTCCCTAGGCCTTGACTATCTAGAATTGGATCTAGATTCCGAGTGTCTCCATCTAGCCAAACACCTAACAAGCTACAACATATCTAGTAGGAAGCCACCTGTTCACTTAGGATCGACCCGGCGAGACCGCTCCCCAAAGTAATAACTACAGCAAAAAAAAAAACCGACCCGACCGCCTACTACAACTGCACTAGCGCTGGATCTACCCAACCAACCCGACCGCCTACTACAACTGTACTAGCGCTGGATCTACCCTTCAACTCTTCGCCATGGGTAGTATTGATTTCTATCATCAACACCCTGCGCACGTGCTGTTTTCCGACTCGCTTGCAAGCTATGCGTCTGGGATTTTAATAACTTTTACAAGGCTTTGGTGTGCAGGCAGGTCTCTTATAGCCGGTTGGACTTCACAACCCCTTCGAAAGACTTAATTGTCGCTGCAGCTTTTGCTAACTGAGCCTTATCGTTCAAGCTTCCTCCAAAGGCCAAGTGAAGTGGACCCAAGAGAAAAGCTTCGTTTCACACACCTTTGTTGTTGAATCTCTCGAATATTGCAACCATGTCGATTCCCAGGTCGAGGTCCCCATCAGTCCCCTCTGAGGGTGAGATCATTGAATCAGGCCCAGAGATGAAGGCAACTGCGTCAAATCCTCCTCTTAATGGCACCACCGTTGACCGTCCCACCAGAGCTAGCCCATCCTCTGCCACCAGATCTCCCGCGTCGTTGAAAGGCACCCGATCGCGGAGCAGGTCCCTATCGAGATCCCGCTCTCGCTCCCCGTACAGAGAGAACAAGCGCAGTCACGGCGATCTGCCCGAGACCTATGATGGTAGCTACGACCGGCGACCACGCCATGAGCCTTCCAGGCACTACAGGTCTAGGTACGACGACAGACGCCGTGAGAGACCCGCCTCCCACAGGCGGCCGAACTCATACTACGACTATGACCGCGAAGACACCCATGGAGATGCGCTACGATACAGTGATGATTATGACCGATATGACCGATATGACCGACACAAGGACAAACGGCAACGCACCCGCAGCCGCAGCCGATCCCCTTACCGTGAACCAAGAAAACCCAAGCAGTATTCGGGCGACGAACTTGATTCAAATGTGGTTAATGCCGGGTCTTCAGCAGACACCGGCAGGCGCTTGCCTACCGAACAGTTGGTGAGGGAACGAGGAAAGGCTTCGGTCATCGCTCAGGACTTGAAGCTTGGTGCTGAAAAACAAAAGAACCAGGTGCAGCCTTCTTCTAATCTTCAGGCCCGTGTGACTGACGAGTATGTTTGTTTTGTTACGTACGAGGAAGAACGTGTGACTAACATCCATCGCAGAGAAACCACCCCTAACCCGGAGTTCGCGCAAGAGCCGGAGCCCGCTGAGCCCATTAATGAAGTCGATGCACTTGAAGCTCGCCGGAAACGCCGTGAAGCTATCCGGGCGAAACACCGAAGCCAAGCGACGCCATTACATCTCAAAGCACTGAACGTTCCTGGGGTTGAAACGGATTCATCCACTCCTGGCACTGAGCCAACTGACGCAAAGGAGGCATCTGGTGGGTTTCTCTCGGACAAGCCTGCCTTGATATCCACAAAACTGACGCATATAAACTCAATAGATTCTCCAACAGCATCCCCCTTTGAACAACCCGGGGAGGCATTCTCTGGTAGTATTGGGAAAGACATGGACATCCTCAACGCCAATGCGCCTGTTGCCGGTACTGATAAGGACGATCCCTCTGCTGCTGATTATGATCCAACTCTTGATACAAAGAAAGAAAGACAGAAACATGGCAATGTACAAAGTGGAAAGGACGACATTTCCTCTACAGCATATGAAGAAATCAAGTCTTTCAAGCAGGACATTCTCCTCCCAGATGCCCCCGCGGCGCCCCCGCCGAAGACCAAGGTGTTCGATATGTTTGCAGATGACGACGATGACATGTTCGCAGAGGAAGCCCCTGAACCCAAGCCGGCGCATGCTTCGGCCACAGCTGTACCCCAGGGCAAGGAATTGGATATCAGCATGATGGATAACTGGGACGATTCGGAAGGGTATTACGCCGTTCGCCTCGGAGAGCTGATCAACGGACGATACCATATCCATCAAAACCTTGGCAAGGGAATGTTCTCATCTGTCGTACGTGCGACTGACACCCAAACAGGGTGTCTGGTTGCCATCAAGATAATTCGCCAGAACTCGATAATGCGCAAGGCCGGTATGAAGGAGATTGGCATCCTGGAGCAACTACAGGAAGCTGACCCGCAAAACCAAATGCACCTCATTAAGTTCGACCGATACTTCGAACACAAGGGTCACTTGTGCATGGTATTTGAGAACCTTAGCATGGACCTGCGTGAGATCCTGAAAAAGTTCGGTAGGGACGTTGGCTTGAACCTGCGCGCAGTTAGGGCCTACGGCCAACAGATTTTCCTTGGGCTAGCTCACCTCCGCCGGTGTAACATCCTGCATGCAGATCTCAAACCGGATAATCTTCTTGTGAACGAGCAACGCAACATTCTGAAAGTCTGCGACCTGGGCTCGGCGTCCATGGCTTCTGATAATGAGATTACGCCTTACCTTGTCAGTCGTTTCTACCGTGCCCCGGAAATCATCCTAGGTATCCCTTACGACTACGCCATCGATGTCTGGTCCATTGGCTGTACCCTCTTTGAATTGTACACGGGCAAAATTCTCTTCACCGGCCGAAACAACAATCAGATGCTTCGCTCCATCATGGAGTGTCGGGGCAAGTACCCGCCGAAACTTCTTCGCCGCGGATCCCTGTCGCCTTGTCACTTTGATGAAAAGCTAAACTTCCACAGCGTGGAGGAAGACAAAATCACCGGCCGCCTTCACACTAAAATTGTGGACTTCAAGAAACCGACACGTGATTTGAAGTCACGCCTCATGGCACAAGGAACTCGCGGGATGCCAGATGCTGAGGTCAAGGAACTGACGATGTTCTTGGACCTACTTGACCGGTGCTTGAGTCTTAACCCTGAGAAACGGATCACACCGACCGAGGCTTTGAAACACCCATTCCTAGCGCCTAGGGCGTAACTAAGTTTCGTGATGAAGGGGCTTTTATTGCATGGATTCTATCTTGATCTATCCGGACTTACCAGGATGCCCAATCCTGGTCCTGAAATGGCGTAACTGGGGCGGAAGGATCGGCGCTACCGGGGAAGAGTTGATCTACGAGTTCTTTTCTTTTTCTTTTCTTTTCTTGTCAATATGCACGAGTAACTTAGGATCTAGCTTCTCAATGCAAGTCCATATGTAACATTTTCACACACACAAAGGCATCAACCCCTGTCCATCCTCGGCTTTTGGACTCCTGCCGAAACCGAGGGTGGCTTGGAATTTGTCTAACCTTCCATTAAAGCGTAAAACTTAGCTCAATGTAGCCAACAAACAAAGAAAACCCCCTACAGAGGTGCACCGTGCATTATCCCGTCCAACACTGAAGGTCAGCTCCTACCAAAAACAAACAAGCCCCCTGGCCCCCCGAATTCCAAAAACCCCAGCACATCGGTAGCGCGCGATAACCCGATCCATCCTGAATCCAATTCATCACTATCACAAAGAAACATCCCAGCACAAAACACAAGCCCCCATTCCGCCGCGCCCCCTTTGGCCTTAGCCCCCTATCGACCCACGCACCTGGTAAGATCGATCTGGAACTAGGTCATCAAACTACCTACAACTCCACTTTATCCTCTATTGCACGATATCGTATGACCCCCATATTCACAAACAAAGAACCCTAACCCTTCAAGCCTAGCTCCAGCCCAAACACAGCAACACCTAACTCAAAACCGCTAGGACCCAACCAAATCCACAGAACCAAAGAACTACACGAAGACTTTTGGGGGGGTTCTAGATTGCTTCTAAGCCAAACTCAACCTTAGTCCAGCCTGCATCCGCGGTTCAGTCTTTACACAGCCGGAACCTTGGGGCTTTCCAAGGTTCCTGCCCAGGTAGGCTTGGTTCTCATTTTTGGGTTGTGGGGGAGAAGAGAAGACCCTTGGATTCGGGAAGGAGGCTAAGTTTATCTTACCTCAACCACCAAGTCGGGCCAGTTGTACGGAGTACCTAGGTAGAGTGATGACAGATATGGGAGATACTAGAATATCCGATTGGCACGATGCTTTTTTCGGCAATCCATGTTATAACTATGAAATATGGAGTAGTTATCGAGTACATGACACTAGACTAGACTATTGCCTCCTTCCTCGGGTCTGTTCTCCTAGAGGCGGCAGAGGCGGAACCTCTTTACGCTCGTGTTTCCCGGTGGCTGTACTCCATAGGTGGCCATTGGATACCTAGGTAGAAGACGTGTCGTCTAGGTAATTTACGGACAAATGGAAGATGGTGTGAGGGTGGCTTTTTGGTCTTGAATTGAATAGATGCCGATAGATGCCGATAGGGCCATGTTTTTCCTTTTTTTTTCTATTATTTTCTTCTTTTGGATTTGCTTTTGGCCTAGTCAATTGGAACTAGGAGATATTGTTTCTATAGTGTTTGTCACGGTTTGATTCTAAAAAAGCAATGAGGATGGATATCTGTTCCGTGTTGATTTGATAGTTGCTGTACGGAGTATGGCGTTTAGTTTTACTTGCAGGTCCACGTACTCGATATACGATGTGGATCATAGTCATGATCATCTTAATTGTCATTAACTTTCTCATGGTATAATGCTAAACTATGATAACATATATTATATTGTATAATTACGTTGAAGTCTATCGGATCGAGTGGAAGTGGAGGAGTGTTCCAGAAGGCGAGGGGACGATCAACGGAAGAAGAGCCCCTTGCCACCAGCACCAGGGTACCATATTTCCTATGTTGTAAGACGAGAAATGGCCCGTGGCAAAAGAATCCGACCGCAAAAATAGGACGGGCGTTTAATCTCCGATCCCCTTTGCTCGGGGTTTGTTGATCTATTGGTCTATTACTGGGGACTAGACATGGATGTTGGCGCCATATAATTGAGAACAAGTAATCATGATGTCGAGAGGTGTTTATATTGTGGGTCCTGCAGGGCAGTCCTCTACATTAGGATGTCGGGCGTTTAGTTGTAAAGATAAACAATTGGAAAAGAAAAAAAAGAGAGAAGATGTTGTAAAAGGTCATTGGCACATGGGATATGGATTATCTGTGGCGGTTAAAAATATCATACTTGTGTGTTGTAGGTAGAGTAGCCTGAGTAGCCTGAGTAGCCTGTTTCCAATAAGTTGGCCACTTTATAAGAGACATGCTATACGGAGTATCTCTGTATATTGTACAATTATCCTTACATAGTAGTACGGAGCACACGGAGTATACAATATAAAACATTATATACGGAGTACGGAGTAATAAGTGATATATCTGAGATCACTTCTAGCGGTGTGTAGACCCCGAAACTAAAAGCCGAAACCAAAAGTGCTACAACACACCGAACACAACATCTGCCGGTCGCAAAATCATAAAAAGGGAAAAAAAGAAAATATCCCGAATGAGAAACGAGAAAGAAGAAGAAAAAAACTTGTTGATCTTTGGACGAGCCAGCTGCATTGCCAATCCTGGGGTACATTAATCGTTGTTGCTCGGAGGCAGGCAAGGCACGGTACACAAAGGGGAACGGGCGTCTATCACATATGGCACATATCATATCACACGAGTCAGCATATATTCGACATCGAGGTGCACCTTTTGTACCACCTACAGATTACGGAGTACATTAGTTGTACATGGGACTAGTTGCTATGGTACAGCTACCTCTGCATGGACAGGTTTCGGGTCCTGAGAACCGATAACGGATGTGATGAATCGTAACCCTGATCTCTATCAGGTGATTGGACTGGCTGCGGGCTTGCGTCGATCTAGGGAGCTTTAGGGGGTAGAATATAGAATAACTACTGATTTTGGTGTTTGTTTTGCTCACCGCAATATATAACATAGAGTACTAACTAGTTAACTACACGGAGTACTCATACAACATACGGAGTAATGTGAGTTGCGATAACTTCCGTACCAGAGAACTGGCACACTTTCCCTTGGCTAGACTACAACATGCTAGTTATACTTTTTGCCCGGGATGATTTTAATGAATTTGGGGGCGGGAATCCAGTTTGAATAAGTCAGACTCGGATCAGTACATGGCCCTTGCCTGTGTATGACGCAAGTGGTGAGATACAGACAAAGGAAAAGTAGTGAGATTGAAGACTCGACGAGGCAACTTTATGTTTACAGGGGTTATTCTTTGCTGTACGAAGTACGGAGTCCACCTTGACAACATCCGGAGTACCTATGTTGTAGTTTTGTTGTATGTGCTGACGGGTGAAAAACAAAAGGGTAGCCCAGCCACCAACAGAAGGACCAAAAAGGTCTAAAAGGAGAAATGGACAACAGGAATCGAAAGTCCAGAGCAACACCAATAATAATACGAGTTTTTGTCTTCCCATTGTGTCCCAGATGGTCAAGGTACATTAGCGCCAGGAGAAGAAAGATGAAGTGTATGGCCCGTGCAGAACTAGTCAGCAGGGAAGCGCCAACCCCCCACTCAGCTGGTTTTAGGGGGAGTTTCTCGAACAACGAACAGTTCGAGCAAATGGTTGGCCATAGCGCCCCTCCATCATCGCCTCACTCTTGCACTTCTTTAGCGTCCTGTCTAGACCCGAGTCAGACTAGAACGGGGGTGAGGAGGGGGGGCCAGGTGGGGTGGGTGGGGTTCAGTTATAGAGTTAGGTATGTTGTATGTCTGTGCAAAGGACGGTGTAGAAAAATCAAGGGAATTGAAGTATACAGTTGAAGTATAATTCTTAATAATCATCTGAATTTGGGATCAATAATTAAAGGACAGATATACTTGCATTCAAAAATCTGCATTCAAACATCTGCATTCAATACATCCCCATATGGTATATACTTGGTATATACTCCGTATATTTTATAAATGTTGTATAAGATCTGACTCAAGATACCATAGCTTTGTGGGGCTGGGGGCAATGAGCTTATTGGTAGAATGCAGGTGGCGGGTGCGTTGGCCAAATGTGTGTCAGAAGGTTTCAAGGCAGAAACACCGTTGGGAAGAACAGGGGTTAGGATACGTGGACAGAAAGGCATTGCCACACTAGGCCTAGAACGGAAGACCATCTGGACATTGTGGACAATTGTGGGCAAGTGTGGGCAAGTGTGGGAACATTGGAAATTGTTGTAGGTAAAAAATAATAGGAGACTCTCTGCAGTTTCCAAGGTTCTAGTCGATCGTTATGACTTATGGTCCAATCATCGGTTGTGGCGGCTGCAGGAAAGACCGACCGAGTCATAATGATTGGTCTAACCACACTCAGGCATGCACACCGCTTCGTACTCCGTACACATGGCCTATTATTATTTTACTTTTTCTAAAAATTTATTTTAAATTATTTATTTTAGTACCACTCTATTTTGTACGCATCATTGATTCTTTTGGGAATTTAATTTTCTTTTTTTTAAAATTCCATTCGATCCTTTCCCTTTTTGGTGATTTAATGTAATTTCCTTTTTGACTAGTGCGCTTTCCCTTTTGTTTTATTATTGTCTTCTCGAACCCACGAGGCGTCCATCTGCCTGATACCTCTTCTATAATACTCTTCCTTCTCTCTCAACTTCGCGACTTTTGTATATTTCACATCTTTTCTTATATATCTACTATACTCCTCTTTTATTTGTTTTTGATTTTTGTTCTATTTTTGTTGGTTCTTGCTTCTGGTTACTTGTGCAACAACTCTCCTTCTCGACTTCTATCAAACACAACCAGACCGGACCAAACGGACCTAGATCGGACCATCTTGAAACCCCCATTGGATTGGAATGGATGCCTTTTGAATATCCGTGGATTTAGGCTTCTTTTATAATCTCCCTGGATCAGACTACCTTTGCGCGCTCGCTCTCACACACACACACTCTCTCTTTCCTCGTCTCATCCGGGAGAGGACCATTGGATCCCCTCTTATACAACCCCCAAGGACAATGTATCCGGCCATGCTACCAACTCCGCCACCGTCGCCGGCTCCCCGCCGCTATGCTCCCGA